GAGAAGGATGTGTCCTCAAGCGTAGCTCTCACGACGGAAGCCTCTATATACATGAGGGTTGTTTGAGCGAGGAAATAGAATCAATCTTGGACGCGTTGTATCAACCGGTATGCTGATCCATCCACGCACATCCACAAGCTAGCCAAAGCCCCAGCAAAACCCAGAACCTGCCAGGGGCTTCGAGTTCTGCCAAAGCAATAGCATCGCAAGGGGCATACAATGGATACATCAGTCGCTGGTAGGCAACCAACGCCAGTCTTCTTTGTCATCCGACCTACTATAAAATATGAAGCAAAGTAATGTAGGACGTACCGATGCTTCTTTCGCATGGTATAGGTTGTTTGTAGACATCGCGGAGTTGTCGAACAAGATATAGCTTCCTCCCACGAGTGCCTGACCTGGAGCCGGCCAAAACCCAGTTTTGCCAGTTTTAACCACTTGCTCGTGAAGGGACTGGTCGGTATGACACATCCAGGCCTCGACTAGCTCTTCCCAATGTTCCGACGGTAGATCGCGATAGTGGTCGATCTTTGTGGATTGAATGAGAGGCAGGGAACATGAGGCACAAATGAAAGATGTGGGATTCATCGACGAAAGGTGGGAAGCATCAAGCAGGGGTGTTGGTGATTCTGCAGTATCGGAGGACGATGATGAGGGTAAAGTGGAGAGTCTGATTTCGTAGTGTCCACTCTGAACTTGGATTTCTTTCTTCCCTGGGGTCGTCCGAGCAGGGAGCATGAGCGGAAGCGAGCAGTAGGGGCCGGATTTGATGAGGAGATGATCTCCTCCCTCTGAAGGGTGTTCAGGGAACGGGGGCAATACTTCGGCTTCCAAGTCAACGCCTGGGTATGCGCCAGTCACCGTGAAGAAAACGAGTACATGTTGCAAGTTTTCGTGGTTCTCCGCAACGTATACGACATCAAAGGCTAGAATATGAATGTCAGTCGTAAACCTTGAGAGGGGCGAGAAATTTACGGACAGGTACTTTGATCTCCGAACTTTGGCTGCAACTGAACACTGGAGATACCAGAGCTGCTACCCTGGCTTGAATTAGACTTCGAGGATGACAATGGTCGCAGCCAAGATAATGGAGGCGCAGATAAGCTTCGACTCCTGCTCTTCTTCGATTTGGTAGTTGGTATAGGAGGAAGCGTGATTTCGTCCTGCCTAACTGGAGGCAGCTCTTTCACGAACTCTGGTAAAGTCAGAAGAGTTTCTGGATCCTTCAGTCGTTCAGAGTTTGGGGGTAAGCCCTCTCGAATAAATTCAGGAAGACTTAGAAGAGCCTCTGGATCTTTGACACGAGGATGCAGTATCGCGTCTTGGCCGTAAATTCGACCAGCACCCGAGTGTCGAACCAATTGTTCAACAAACGCGTCCCTCTATAAGAAAAACGCATCAGATCGGGAATCAGAAGCATTGGATCATCAATGCATCACTGACCTTGGCTACATCACGAAGTTTCGCCTTCTCTAGTCTGCTCTGCATGCCACCATCAAGAATAACGGATTGACCCTTGAGGGACCTATCCGAAGCTTTCCCGAGAAGGTCAAGAATGTTCTCCAGCTCCTTCACGTCCCTTTCCTTTCCTTTCCTTTGCTACTCCGCGAAACGCCTTGTTGTCGAGCTTTCTCCATCTGAACGAGCTTCGAAGATTTGAGCTCGACTCGCTGATTGTGAAGCTGCGGCGCAACAAGGTAGAGTCTGTCAATCGCCATTGCAATGGCCTCTAGGTCTAACCGCATCTTCTCGTCGCTCTGACGTGTGCTAGACGAAGGCTGGTATTGTGCCGTCTTACCCTTGCCGTCATCTATTGAGCTACGACCGCCAGGCTCGTAAATGGGCGGACTTTCCAAATCAAAGTCCTCATAGTCATATTGAGGGGGAAGATTATCTTGGAAAAATCTCGGAAGGTTCTCCGTATGCTCTTTGCACATTGAGACTACGGTTTCGAGCTCTTGATCGATTCTTGTCCATAACAAGGAAACTTCGACCTCAAGGGTCGTAGGTATGCCCGGAGTGGACATTCCACCCTGAGAGACAAGACGTTCTGTCTGCAACTCATTAAGCTGACGCTTGAGTGCGTCAAAATGATCAATTGGAGGGGGTTCGTCGTATTGGCGGGAAGACTCTGGCTCGGGCGTTTCAAGAGTGGTTAGGTGCATGCCTGATTGAATAACAGAGAGTCTGTTGAGGTTTGACAGTAAAGAGACGAGAGATTTCGCAAGAATCGCTTCACTGGGCTGCAAGGAAGATGAGATGGATTTCACCCGTGTCTTAAGCTCATTGATGAGATCAGAATCATTGACGGAATCACGGGCCTCGATCATTTCATCGTCCCTGCCACGATTTCGAAGATTGATGACAAGGGTATGCAAGGCAGAGGACGATGATTCAGCCTCGCCTTGTGGAAATGTGGTATTGTGTGGGCTGGATGGCATGGAGTGTCGACGGTCGGGAACAATGGGATTCCACCCCGTTGGGACGGATAACAAGTTGTTTAATGTCATCAAGCACGACCTTTGAACCAACGCAATTGAAGGCATTACGTCGCCCTTCACAAAATGAGTGAAACTTCGGAGTGAAATCTTCGCAACTCACAGGTATGCCACGCGAGTCGCTTTCGGACTCTGCAGCTTGTGGAGGTTCTGCCACTTGCTCTTCAGACGAAACAAAAAAATCCTCCGAAACGAAAGAGTCATCGGCCTGCAATTGTCGAAGCTGTTCATGAGGAAAAGGCGAGGGAACATGGGTAGACAGCAGTGGACTTGATCTTGTGTGTATGGGCGCCTTCGGACGAGTGGCGGTGGCCATTGCGTAGAAGATCGCAAACTGGTGGGCGTTTGTAAGGATGTTTCAGAGAAACGCACAAGGAACGAGGCGACCTACGAAGGGGTGTTCCTTATGCACTTGATAACTGTTTCAGGCCACCTCAACAACAAGAGCAGCGAGCGCGTCTGGAGCGAGGAACCACGTGGATGTGAACGAAGGACTCCAGCCCCAACTTCAATGGTTGTAGACGACGGTCAATGTAACTGTCTCCTGTAGTTAGAAAAAAAATTGGCAGTCCAGCAAAGCAGTTAGTAATGGTGGAATTTGGATCGGTCAAGATCGTAATTACGCACCGTCGCAATATAAAGACGCTCACTGACACAAATTCGTCGAAGCTCCCAAAGTAGCCGGTTGAGCTTGCAAAAACGCTCAGAGTGATGAGAGTAGCTGGTCGTCGTGCAGAATGTTGGCAGAATGACGTCCTTGGCTTCGCGATACGGCCACATGATGCAATGTAGGTTGCCGAATACAGCCAACACTTGGCCACAACCCTTCGTCAAAAGGTTGCAAGCAGCATGTCCGGCCTCCCAGAAATTGTTCCGAACTTCCAAGCTTCTCTAGTGTGCACCCTCGGCCACACCACTCAGCCCCCTCTTTCACGTCCAACGATTTTATACCTTGACAACTACCACAAATCTGACCCAGTTCAGATATACGTCCTCCTTTTCACAAGAACTGGCTGCGCTAAGCTTGCTATTTAAAGGATCTTGAACCCTGATACTCACATTTTCTCGCTAAAATGACGCTCAACAAAATTCCTGCCGAGCTACCAGACTCCTTCCCAGATTTCCCTACCCCCTCTCAGGCTGCTCGTCGGTCCCCTAGTCGCAGAGAAACGATACTTAGTCTCGTTGAGATGCTTCTGCAAGATTCCGACGGCCAAAGAATAAGTAAGTCTTTTCTCTATTCTATTTCTGTTCTGATCCCTACGACGTAGATATACCCAACAACCCAGTTTCGAGGACGACAGAGACGTCCGTACGTGTGAATCCTGCAAATCCCGCGGAGCCTGCTCGATTGACATTGTAACTCAGCTAGCGTGGATGAGCACCATCAGGCTGCGGGAGCAGAAGCATTTCATAAGTTTGAAAGGTTTGTGCATCGCGTCTCATGATGCCGAAAGCCTCACAAATTGTTTGCACGATAGGAGCATCAATAACCTTGATAAAGAGGCAGGCCCACATCTCCATCTTGCTGTTTTTACTTCAAATTTACCTCAACAATAGCTTCGAAACTTTGCCAATGCTGCTCGTCGACTGGGAAGCTCCGTTGCGATTATTTCTTCTGCTTACCGACTTCGAGAACGTCTGGCTCAAATTCTTTACCTCTATCAGGAGAATGCTGCTGACCTTTTTCCGCAAAAAATTGCGCACATTTCTCGCGAATCAATTACGGAATTTCGTGCACCAGAACGACGCACAAGGCGTGGTAGGCGAAGAAGGGGAAAAGCACCCTTACACGTTCTGAGGCCTGCTGTGACCGAACATTTGGACCTGGAGTGTTTTCCCGAACAGCTGGAGGCCTTGGCGAGGGAGGTGACAGCATTTTTGGATACCTTAAATGAGTTTCTGGAGTTTCCGGACAAAGCTGTCAATGCTTCGATCTTGTCATTTGAAGGTGATCTAAAGGTTTATGGTGCTGATTTTTCCTTTTCTTCTGTGAAAACAACTTCTCTACTGCTACATTGTACTGGTTGTCTTGCCTCAAGGAATATGCAGGCCAATTCCGATACCCTGCAGTGCAACAAATAATACAATACATATATGATCTCACTGATGAAATGGGTGAGCATATTGATGGCATAACTTCATCTCTCTGCATGTTCATTGATGTTGGTAAGCCCCTTTGCCTTCACTCTGCACATCTATTGTGATCACTGATGCCATGTAGGTGTTCCAATTATTTGGTTTGTGCAGAAACATGGTGCAAACAGTTTATTGAATTTGTCAACAGTTGCCACCTTCTTCTTGGCAGTGACTGCTATGACTGGCATTGACTATGCAGTTTTCTTACCAGCTGGAACACAACACTGTCTCTGATGCTGTCAACTCTATGTGGTTTGCATCAATGGTCTTTAGCATTGCAGCAGCTGTTAATAGCCTCCTGGGGCTCACATGGAAACAAGCAATGTAGTGAGTCCATTTTGCCACCCAGCCTGAATGAGATCTTTGGTTGCTTGCCAGGCCCATGTTAGCTGCTCACCAGGGGATCAGGTGCCCTGGTGGGTTTTGATTTGGATTAAATGATTGTCCTGTCAGTTGCCTGTTTCTCCATTGGACTCTGCTGTTTTGCTTATGCTTCACATCAGGTAAGCATTACTGTTATACTGATTTTAACTCTTCTCAATCAACATTTGATGGCTTTGCAGTCCTTCATAACAGCTACTCTCACAACTGTGCTTACTACCATTACCTCATTCGGCCTCACAGCTGTCTCTGCATGGTTTGCATCAGAACACTGGACATTCACTCGACATTGTGGCTAGAAATGGCTCAGTGATGTGCTTATTGAGAGCATAGAACAGTTTGTGCAGACCCCAGTGGTGGGCTGGATTCAAATGGTCATTAAATTTTTGAGTCACAACATTGAGAAGATCTGGGCAGTGCTCTTGTCACTCTACAAATGGCTCAGGAACATTTGCTCCTTGAGCAAATTAGACAATGAAGGCAACAATTTGGAAGCTAATGGTGTGCCTACTACTAGCAACAGCAGCCCTAATCATCTTCCCTCCCACTTGGAGCCATCAAACCCTAACTTGGGATGTCTAGCATTTCCCTGCCAGAGTTGACAGAATCCCTGAAGCCCACCCACATCACACCACCATCTGCACCTCTAAACCCCCCAATGGAGAAAGACAGCCCCTCACCTGAAGCATCCCCAATTAGCCCCAGGAAGCAGTTGTGGCAAAAGGCCTTCCAAAACATGAAGATGCAGAATTGCCTGGCTGCCTTAACATCTGCCTTGAGAGACACAGCTCAACCATACAGGTGAAGGACAACATCTTCCAGTCATCCTGGACCTTATGACAGGAAGAAGGCCATCATTGAGCCTGTCACTGTTCTCAAATCCTGGATATCAACATTGGTACCAAAGCTTGCAGCTCTAGAAGCTACTCAAGATTTAGCTGCACACAACACACTTGTGCATCACCTAGAGTTCTCTCCTGATTGGAGATTCTTAGCCTCCTCAAGGTGAGGTTCACTCAAGTGTTTGAGGATTATGATCAATAACTGATTGTTTTTCTTAAAGCTGGGATAAGACTTCAACATTCTTCTGAGTTGGTGTGCATTTTCTTTCAATCCATCTTTGCAGCAAGTATCTGATTCCAATCTGCCTGTCAGAACCCTTTTATCTCCCACTGTACCCTTGCACACCTGCAGGGCTTTGTCAGCCATTCATTTCATCGTGTTGACTTGGAATTATCTTACCTGCTTCAGGTCTCCAACATGAAACTCATTGTTGATGAAAATGGCACAAGGTATCAATGTAAGGTAGCGGACAGCCATACCTCGCTAACGTCACGTGAGGTGACATTTCGGTGACATTTCAGTCCTAAACGGGTGAACTTGAATGAAAACATGGATATTAAGACAACGGAATCCAAAGCTGTAAAAGCAAGAAGAACATTTTGTTCATATTAGTATCAGTAGTGTATATACAAGTTTCTGGAATAAAATAACAAGATCTGAGAGAGGAGTTCCAAATATACAGCTGTATGCTATGCTGGTCATCAAGAAAGCTGCCAGGAGATAGATTAAGTCAGTAATATGATAGTTACCAAGAATGAGGGAAGGATCAAGTGATTTTTGCCTTCTCAAGGTCATCCATTAGGCTATCAGGAAGCACTCGGTGACCCTTGTACTTCCTGGCTGCCCATGCTGCTTGTCGGCCATTGAGACCTTTAACATAGGCATCCATAAATTTTTGAGAGCGATTAGAGAAGCTATAAGATTCTATTGTTAGGTAATTTTTTTTCGAAGGGAAATAAGACAAACCGTCGCATTTGTGCAAGAGAAATTGAATCAAGCGCAGCTAGCGCGTACTTTTCAAGAACTTCTTCCTTCGAGGATGGCGGGTTTAAGCGATAAATCCTCTTGGCATAGCCCCAGCACTGCTCAATAAAATTTAATTCACAGTGAAATTTCGGAAGATATATCAACCTGAATCCACGAGTGTTGCAGGCGTTTTCGAGAATAGTGGGAATGTGCGTGAAATCGGGTTGATTGTACAGAACCCGGCGACAACAACAATCAATAGCCGGTGGAGCGCATTTGAAGTTCTTGCATTCCGCACGGAGTTTCGACTCCTTAACAAGTCCACACTCCTCCAAGATGTACGCCATTCCCTTGAACACGCTGGCGCGAGGATGACCTTCTGGGAAATACAGCGCTTGGGGAGTCCCATCAGCAAAGCATGCATTACCCATTTTGATTTTCTCCTTGGCAGTTGTTCCGTCAGGTAGGTGAACCAGATTTCCTGTATTGTCACGCTTTGTAACTTCAACCCCCCAGTTATGTCCTTCCTTTGGGATATTTTTTGGCATCCGACGAGCCGAAAGCGAGCCATCCGGTCTTTTCAGATGCGTGGGCGCGTTGTCATAAATGAAAATGTGCTCATACTCAGGGTACCACTCCGTGAGTATGTCCATTGCACGGTTGGCTTGGTTAACGATGTCATCTGCCGTCATATATCCATCACGATTCTTCCCTGGCTTCATGATTATGCGAGCGCTTTGTTTCCCATCTGGCGACTGGAGCCAACCAAATTTGGCTGACACAAACTCGCCAATCATCAACGACACGCCCTCTCCTTTTGTGTACGGTTTTGCCGGGGAATCCTTGTGGTACCACCCACGCGGCGTACGATCATTTGCATAGAATATGCATTCGTCGTTGAACCAAGATATGACTGTTTTTCCATCAGGTCGAGGACCATGTTCCTTCTCATTCTCTTTGCTCCAGTTTTCCATTCGAGCTTCAAGCGCTTTCCATTGTGGTAAGAAAGTGTGGTCCCGGTAATAAACAACGTCCTCGCGCTCATGACCATCTGCATATTGACCTTTCTTTGCAGTGCGGAATCGGTAACCCAGCGCATTCAGGTATCGACGCGCCGTCCGTTCAGAAATCGCTTTGGTAATGCCATGTTTCTGTTTCACCTCTTCCCGAGCAAGAAAACTGACCACCTTCTTTGCTGAGACATCCTTTCCGATTTCCTGGAGATACAAATTGATGTCCAGGGATAAATCCTCATCAATGAGCATCGATTGGTTCCAATCTCCATAGGGATTAACCGGAAGAAAGGTACGATCATCCAGGAATTTCCGCACCAGCGCGGTAAGTTGACGCGCGCAATAACGACCTCTCCCCATAGAGACAGTAGCTTGGAGGGCAGATGCACCCCATTTTCCGTATGTATGTGAGTGGGGGATTGTGTAAAAATTCAGCATGCTGACCATGCCTTGCACCTTTTTTCGGATGAAGAGATCCAGGCCGGGATCTTTGTGTCCAGCACCTGTTTTTCGTGGGGGATCAAGAATCTCTTTCAAATCTTTCAGGGCGGCCCTGGCTTGGTCTAACGTAGGGGCTTGGCGTTGCTTCCCATCTCAAATTTCTTTCATTTCTGGGAGGTCTTCATGAAACAATATGTGAGTGATTTCAAATTTTCCAATAGCTCGAAGATCTATTTTACCTGCATCTTCACCTATTTCTTCATCCTCTACATCCAGGGAATGGGCCTCTTCCTTGTCGGCATCCTGATCCTTTTCATCCCAGGGGTAGGTACCTGTGAAAAACTCTGACACAGGTTTCTCGATCTGGAATGATTGATATCTGGGTGCCATAAGGTCCGCCGTATGCGGTACAGGGATCTGGCATTGAAAGGAACCAAGGAACATGTCAATGCAATCCTGTTGACTTTGACCCTGGTTCATCACAGAAGACGGCCGTAATGTGGGGTCCAACCCTGACGCGTCAATGTTCTGTTTCTGTGCAGCCGACGCGTTTTCTGACGCGTTTTTTGAAGGTTTATCTGTCGTAACGCCATTCTAAACAGCTTAAATGCGACAGAACACATTTAAGATGGATCTTTAGCCTCACCTTTTTACCACCTGTGAGCTTTTTTCTCTTCACCGAATTCTCATCCATTTCCCATGGATTTGTTCTCTTTCCAGGGCCCTTCCCCATACTTGCAAGTCGTGCAACAAGTGCCTTCCGTAGTGGTGGCATGTGTGTTGAGGTTAGGACAGATAACGGAGGGCGCGCGGACGTATTGCCAATATTGACGCGAGGCGACGCGCCGTTTTTGGATCTACTTCTCGAGATTTTGCTTTTGCGCCAAAATTTTACCCACAAATATAAATTGACACTAATATCTACAATACGTTCTGGCCCAATTAGCTACAAACTGTGTGCTAACTAGATTGAAGAGCAATCTGTAAAAAATTGACCGTTTTGGAGGCTGTCACGCTCGGCACGTGACGTTAGCGAGGTATGGCTGTCCGCTACCTTATGGACTGAGGTAAGTTGACAAAGGCACTATAACAGATCTTGTCGATGTTCTCACCTTTGAGCCATTGTATAACAGGATAGGGTCTGTGTGAAAACTATGGTGAGTTTTTCTCTGAGTTGTGTTTACAATGTGTTCTCAAGTAACCTTGACATCTAGAATACTAATAGCAAAGTTTGTCCATTTTTCAGCTCCAGGTCTGCATTTTCACTGACCTTCTCTACTTATGTCAGGTATTAGATGATTATGATTTTGGCCACATGAAAGTTCATGATGTTGCAATTATGCTGGGTTCCCTTCAAGTGTTGGGCATGAGACAAAGGAAAGAAGTGAAAATGCTCAAATTTTTCTGAGTTTGTTATAGATATAATGCATTTCTATTTTTGCCCTACTGCCATCATTTATGCAAATGGCCATAAAATGAAAAAGCATAGAAATACTATAAATTTAGTGCACATACAGGTTAAAATGCAAGGAATTGTCCCACATTGACCAGTTGTTCAACTTCCAGTAGCATTTTGATAGACTATCTATCAAGAAGATAGGCTGTACTCTATTCTCTTTCAACACACTGACTCATGGTTATCATTAAAGAGAGGTCTTTCTTTTTGTTGTGCAGAACAATCCATTGAGAATTTTGATTTTATCAAGTCCACAATGCTGTAGGGTGGTATTCTCAGCAACCAGTACTTCACCTACCCCTCAATAAGGAAAAACTGAAACTGAGCAGCAGTGTATACATCACTCAATTATAGAGATGTTGGAGTAATCATAGGTATAGAGGATGTATCAACCACTAAGGGGAATGGAGATGGTGAATAAGAAGGAATAGAGCAGAAAACTACACATACAAAACTTGACATTTTGCACAAAAACAAGCCTATTAGGAGTTGGATAGTGTTGTCTCTTTCTATACATTGAAGATGAATATCAGGTGAGAAGTGAAAGCAAGAAAGAAAGAAAGAAAGAAAACTTACCCTCTAAAAATAGGAGAATCTATGAAAGATTCTAAGATGATAAAAAAGGAGTTGACTTGCCCACTATATCTAAAATAAGGGATCCAGTGAAATAATGCAGATAACTTCATACTTTCTAATAAAAGGAGGAGTTGAAAGTGGAAAGCTGGAAACAGATTGAAGACATACAAGCTACAAAACATGAGCATTCTTGTATAACAGGAAGTAAAAACATACAATCTGAGTCAAAAAAAGCATATATCAAAGAGATAGAAATGACAGTAAATAGGCAACCTACTGTCTAGAAGAAAGGAAAGCTGAGAGGTCATAAAATTGGTCTATTTGGTGCTGAAATTTTACTGACCCCCTTGAAAATTATTGATTGAGAATTAATTACCTGAGAAAGAACAATGATTGAATACATGTGGATTAAAAAAGGAAGGCTAAAAAATAAAACTTACAAGATATAAAGAAGAGACCACATACTTTCTATAAATGCAAGAAATGAGTGCAAGAAAGGGGTGAGTGGAATTGATTGGAATAAGAATATAGACAACACACTGACTGAAAAGGAAATGTCAAAAATGGATTACTCGAAACATATATAGTGAAAAACAAACAACTTACATACTAAGAAAGATAATGTGTGACAAGAGTAACTCATGACCAAGAGGAAGGCAGCTCACCCCCTGAGGAGTAAGCACCAAAATATTGTTATCATAATTAGTCACAATAAAAAGCAGGCCAACTCACATTCTGAAACAAAACAGGCCAGTGTCACCAGAAGAGTGCACATTAGAAACCAGGCCAACTCACCAGCTAAAAGAAGACAGGCCAGTATCACCAGAAGAGTGCACATTGAAAACCAGGCCAACTCACCCTCTGAAAGAAGACAGGCCAGTGTCACCAGAAGAGTGCACATCAAAAAACAGGCCAACTCACCTCCTGAAACAAGACAGGCCACAGTTTGTGTCACCAGAAGAGTGCACATCAAAAAACAGGCCAACTCACATACTGAAACAAGACAGGCCAGTGTCACCAGAAGAGTGCACATTAGAAACGAGGCTAACTCACCAGCTAAATAAAGACAGGCCAGTGTCACCAGAAGAGTGCACATTAGAAACCAGGCCAACTTACCAGCTAAATGAAGACAGGCCAGTGTCACCAGAAGAGTGCACATCAAAAACCAGGCGAACTCACCGGCTGAAACAAAAGAGGCCAGTGTCACCAGAAGAGTGCACATCAAAAAACAGGCCAACTCACCATCTGAAACAAAACAGGCCAGTATCACCAGAAGAGTGCACATTAGAAACCAGGCCAACTCACTGGCTAAAAGAAGACAGGCCAGTGTCACCAGAAGAGTGCACATCAAAAAACAGGCCAACTCACATACTGAAACATAACAGGCCAGTGTCACCAGAAGAATGCACATTAGAAATCAGGCCAACTCACCGGCTAAAAGAAGACAGGCCAGTGTCACCAGAAGAGTGCACATTAGAAACCAGGCCAACTCACGCTAAAAGAAGACAACTCACCTTCTGAAACAAAACAGGCCAGTGTCACCAGAAGAGTGCACATCAAAAAAACAGGCCAACTCACCGGCTGAAACAAAACAGGCCAGTGTCACCAGAAGAGTGCACATTAGAAACCAGGCCAACTCACATACTGAAACAAGACAGGCCAGTGTCACCAGAAGAGTGCACATCAAAAAACAGGCCAACTCACATCCTGAAAGAAGACAGGCCAGTGTCACCAGAAGAGTGCACATCAAAAAAACAGGCCAACTCACCGGCTGAAACAAAACAGGCCAGTGTCACCAGAAGACTGCACATTAGAAACCAGGCCAACTCACCAGCTAAAAGAAGACAGGCCAGTGTCACCAAAAGAGTGCACATCAAAAAACAGGCCAACTCACCCCCTGAAACAAAACAGGCCAGTGTCACCAGAAGAGTGCACATTGAAAAACAGGCCAACTCACATACTGAAACAAGACAGGCCAGTGTCACCAGAAGAGTGCACATCAAAAAACAGGCCAACTCACCTTCTGAAACAAAACACGCCAGTGTCACCAGAAGAGTGCACATTAGAAACCAGGCCAACTCACCAGCTAAAAGAAGACAGGCCAGTGTCACCAGAAGAATGCACATCAGAAACCAGGCCAACTCACCATCTGAAACAAAACAGGCCAGTGTCACCAGAAGAGTGCACATCAAAAACCAGGCCAACTCACCCCCTAAAAGAAAACAGGCCAGTGTCACCAGAAGAGTGCACATCAAAAACCAGGCCAACTCACATACTGAAACAAAACAGGCCAGTGTCACCAGAAGAGTGCACATTAAAAACCAGGCCAACTCACCTTCTGAAAGAAGACAGGCCAGTGTCACCAGAAGAGTGCACATCAAAAACAGGCCAACTCACATCTGAAACAAGACAGGCCAGTGTCACCAGAAGAATGCACATCAGAAACCAGGCCAACTCACCCTCTGAAACAAAACAGGCCAGTGTCACCAGAAGAGTGCACATTAGAAACCAGGCCAACTCACCAGCTAAAAGAAGACAGGCCAGTGTCACCAGAAGAGTGCACATCAAAAACCAGGCCAACTCACATGCTGAAACAAAACAGGCCAGTGTCACCAGAAGAGTACACATTAGAAACCAGGCCAACTCACCAGCTAAAGAAGACAGGCCAGTGTCACCAGAAGAGTGCACATCAAAAACAGGCCAACTCACATCCTGAAACAAGACAGGCCAGTGTCACCAGAAGAGTGCACATTAGAAACCAGGTCAACTCACCACCTGAAACAAGACAGGCCACAGTTTGTGTCACCAGAAGAATGCACATTAAAAACCAGGCCAACTCACCGTCTGAAACAAGACAGGCCAGTGTCACCAGAAGAGTGCACATTAG